CCTGTTTCACACGTACTACATCTTAAGTGCATGTGGGACCCATATTTTTTCACACCTACGTTAATAGGTTACTATCATAGGTTAATGTTACAGCTTTCAAACTGAATGCAGTTCCAGGAGCATGCGTCTGCAGCAAAACAGCTATTATTTCCACAAGAAGTCTATATTTGCTGTGCTGCATAAAGAGCTTGTTTGTGAGCAAAATTAACACAAAAAAACAGCAATAATGACATCATATATGCAGAATTAAAGTTATTATGTTCAGTTCTAAATGTCAAAGTAGGAATAAATAAATAAGTAAGTAAATAAATAAATAAATAAATAAATAAATAAATAAAAACAGTATTCCTAAAAACATTTAGCAAAATGTGAACAGGTGTTTTTTTCTATCTGTTTGAAAGAACGAACTCAAAAACAAGGATATATAAAGACTTATCTCATTATTGAGATGGAAAAACACAAAATTCTTTATTACTCATAGAATGTTTCGTAAATATGAAAAGCCATGGGAAGTCGTTTTCGTAGACAAGTTATAGGTTGTAGTAAATTACATTCATTTTCTTGTATATTTTTGTATTTTGAATGTTAAGCTGCACCTACACTAAGTGGTTTAGGGTTAAGTTGATTAGATATTATGATATTCAGTTTAAATAATAAAACTAGATAATAGCTTTTTTTCTAAAAAGAAAACAAAGATGTCATTTTTTAATAGATTTATAATATTTCCTCATGAATCATTTGTCCAATTATTTGATTTATCAATTAAGATATATGTAGAATACCTTTCATTTTAAATTTATTAATATCACATCTGTCATTCTCTGCTAAACTCTCAGTTGATTAAACCTAAACCTACTTACTCAAGGTATGTCAATTCCAAAACCACTTCTGGGAGTAAGTGTTGTGGTTAACCCAGAGCATGTTAGCGCAAAACATAACACCGAAACTAGAGCAGCAATCTACATCAACTGATCCGTATTCCATATATTGCGATGGCTACTTGCATACCCTGAAAGTTGGAAAGTTGAAAGTTATCCCCTAATTCTTAACAAGATAGTTAACTCAAAAAATAAAACTGACTCATTATTTATTCTCAATCAAAGGTTTTCAAACGTTTACGTTGTTTTCTTTCTTCTTTTGAACGCAAAAAAGATATTTAAAGAATGCTGGTTGCTGGGACCCATCAACTTCCGTATTATAAAAAATAAGAAATTTAATGGGTTGCAAAAACCAGTATTTTACAAAATATATTATTTTGTAATTAACACAAAAAAGAAACTCAAATAGGTTTTCATCAAGTGATGGGTGAGTAAATGATGACAGAATTTGAATTTCTTACCTAACTATGTCACATAACCTGTTTTCTGGAAACCCCCCTGATGTGTCACACCATGTTTGAATAAAGCTAAAGTCACACTGCACTTTTTTGCACCATTGACTTCTATTCATACGCACACAAATGCTGAAGACCGGAAATGCAGGCTCAAGCAAAGTCGCATGTCGCTATTTTTCAAAGTTCAAGCTTGAACTCTGACCTGTGATTTTGTATCAGGTGAATGTGTGAGATATCCCTTGTATAGAAATTTAATCCATTAAGTTGTTTTTTTATCCCACCCCATTTTGCAATGCTGTCCAACAGAATTTTGCATGCAACTCTGGTGACTCCGGCTGCAGACTTTGCTGCACACTGGACCACCTTTCCACTGCACACAACAAACAACAAGCAACAGAGTGGAACTCATTCATTTCCAATGTAGAGTAGTCCGGGAATTCCGATCATGTCCGTATGCGGAAATTCGGATCTTATTTGAGCTGCAGATCCCTGAAAATATTTGAACAACTACGACTAGGCCATATGCTACCAGCAGACCGGATGTAATGCATTGCAGTATTGTCCAAGCAGGTCCATGTGCGTGAGATGAGAAATAGCAATTTTTATATAATTTTTTTTAATGAGAAAAAAAGTCTATTAAAAAAATATTTCTATTCATAAATGAGTAATAAAAAATATATTTTTTATGTTGTCTCCACATTCCCTCCAAAATTGTTAGCAGTCTATGAGTTTCTACTATTCATTCAACCATGGTGAACGCATGGAGAATAAAGGCACTTGCTTTTGCACTCCTTTATTCTCTCCCATGCATGGTGCACGACAAAATTGAAAATTCTGTGCAACTGCCACAAGGGGGCGGTTTTCAACAGTCGTTTTCAAATGTGAAGTGGAAAAGTGTCCCACCCTCTTTTCGTGTTTCGGATGAGATTATATCAAACATAGAATAAAAGTGCATATATAAAGCACTTCACGATACCCTTTAAAAAGGCCATTTCGCTCAGCCCTACTGTCAGGGGCTGGTTTCACATCTGAGTGGCTAATCTTAAAAGAGAAAGCATACATGTGTTGTACAGTGTCATAGTCTATTTTAAAAACATAAGTCACATGAAAAGAAGTTGGGCAATATTGATGGGTTTTTTTAACAAATCAAAATATTAGTAAATACCTTGGCAGGGATCTATTGGTTGACCAATATTCATCAACTGCTATAGTGTAAATTGCCAGATTATTTTACCCTGATCACTCATTTGGAATTTATGCTATTTATTAATGATAACAACCAGCTGGATGTAAATTATACCTTACTTGATTACTGTAACTTTAAATGATTGTAACTGTAACTTTAAGTGATTTAACTGTAACTTTAAATTATTGATAAATCTGAAAACAGCATCCGTAGCATTTTCATGTAAAAAGCCTATTTGTGTATTTTGTGAAACAAAAATGTCATCAGCCCACCTACATCCTGACCCTAGTCAAACATCACGTTACAACAAAGGCAGCTATAGCATTTGTTGTGCTACTGAACTTAATATCAAACATCATTTGTCATGTACATCATTTGTCCTAAACATTTTTGTCAAAAAAGCTTGGTGTGATCGGCAGCTAATCTCCTCTGAAGTAGAAGGGCATTTTCACAGAAACTCTAAATACCTGAAGAAACACAAAGAAACCCAGTAAAACCCCATAGCGGCTTCTGAATAAACAAAAGATTTAACTGTTTTTATTGATTCAGAATGACTTATAAAGACAAAACTGTTTTTTTAATTAATGTTATTATTATTTCATGTATCTTACAACTTAGCATTTATTTCAAATGCTCAACTGAATTTATGAAGCAAGTTTGGAGAAAAATTATGTTCTTAAATGTGGTAACTTCATATGAAGCATTTACTCCACAGAGTTATAGTTCACTGAGAAGAGACACAAACAGCTGTCATTATCACAGAATATTATCTCAATATCATTTTCGACCAATTCAACAGAATTAACAATTTTTTTTTTTTCTAATCAGTGACCAACGACTCTGTGTAGTAAATGCTGCTCCATCTGAACACATACTGGAGGTTTACTAGAACCAGCTTAACTGTCAAAATGCGCATGAAATCATGCAACAGATCAGATAAGCTACTTTCCTTATCTGATCTTTTGCAGGACTTTATGCACATTTTCTGGTTTTGTGTGAATGTGGCCTTATACTGCACAACAAAACTCCAAAGAAAGCCAAGCCAATGCAAAGAGAACAACACCAAAGAGATACCAGAGTATCCATATTACAAATCAACAGTCCACAAGGAGCATTTTGCAATTAAATTCTTCAAAAAAAAAAAAAAAAAGTTTAAAACTTTTATAATCCAATAATAATGATTTTTTTATTATTATTACATTCATTGTGGATAATATATGCATCACAGAAGTGTGATACATTATATTTACTTTATGTATTGGTTGCTTATTTAAATTTGACCAGATCAGATGGAACCTTAGCATCTTTATGTCCACCTCCCCAGTGGTTGCTATTCTGTTATTGTCTGGAGCTGCCCAGAGGTGAACCCAGATTTGAAACAAAATACTATAGCAGAAGTCAAAACAACAAAAATGAAAACTGGCAATCAGAGTCAGAATACCTTCTGAGGTTTTCATCGTTTTTTCTGAATTAGAATTATTAGATCTAAAAATTTATATTTTACCTGTTTATCAAATATTAAATAAATTGTTTAAACATATTAGCTAATAAAAATATTATTTTTCTAGAAAAGTGTTATATCATAAGAAATATTCCCATTGCAATACTCAACAATAGCAGATCTTCTAATGTTAGTGTTAGTTAATATTTAAATGTATTCCACTTGTTCATATTTACATTACATTCAACCACATATATATTTTAATGTTGGTGAGAATGGGGTTTTACTTTGAACATGTCAAAGTCATCATGCTACACCAAACTAGGTTATCGTCTCTAGCACTTTTAAATTAATTAGAATTGGAGTATAATAACATTTTTAACATTTATAAGCGACATTTATTCTTAAGTGTAGAAGGAGCAAAATACCATCAATCTACAATTTTGACAAATGTAGGACTTTTTAGAATTTTACTCTGAGCAAGCTTAAAGCATGCAGTTGTTAATGACACAGTAACACAATAATTCCCCCTTGTTTTACTTTACTTCAATTGCAATGTCTTTGCAGACTGCTAAAGGTGCTTTTTGGAGTATTTGTTAAACATCAGACCTCTAACTAAAGCTGTTTGTTACTTTGTTTATTTAATAAACATGAATTGACTTACAACAAGGTTGCCAATTTCATTAGAAAATTGCACAAATTGATCACTAAATGAAAATACATATATGCTTTAAGGGGATGGGGACATTTAATCTGATCTATAAACAAAGAAATAAGAAAAAGAAAAAAAATCCTAAACAAACCAGATTAAAACTTGAGCAAAATATTTGCAGATTTCAGCCAGACCTTGAATCCACAGGGAACCTTTCAAAGGAGACCTTTGGTTTTTCAGTTGAATTAAGCAACACTACGCCCATTAACTGGTCACAACAGATCTGACATTTTTCCGTGTTTTTAAGTAGATTGACAATATTGTTTAACTAAACATCTTGTTGTGAATAAAATAGCCTGAGAAACATGAACGGACAATCAGTACTCACCTGATTATATTTCGCTGAATCAAAACAGATGCTATCCGATAAACAGCGCGAGTCACTGGACACCAGCATAGACAGCTCCGCCGTATTTTACCAATAAAAAAGAAGCGTGGAATAACACAAATACATTGTGGGGGTTCCACCGCACGTAAGCTTTTGGTCAGCGATTGACACAATACTTTCTGTCGGCATTAAACTGTCTTCCTGTTTATACTAAACTACTAATAGAAAGTCGAACTAAACCACAGTAATGCCTGTGAAAGGCTGCTCAAGTAATGCGTTTGTCAGCCGTGTGTTTCAAAGTTGAGATCCCGCCCCCTGCCCACACCAATAGTGGATGGGGAGTTTGATTTACTCCATTGACTCGAATCTTTTGAACTGCTTCAGTTGAATCATATACAATTGTTACATTAGTCTATCGCTTTACTCTATATGTCCATATATCTACTGAAAACTTTAAAAAACAATTTTTCTTCAGTCATAAAGTGAGTTCAGTTACTGTGCAATATATAGTTTATAATGGTATTTATGCTTGTCAAGACTAGATGATTTAACTAAAGAACGAGTCGGTTCAGGAATTGATTTAATACTGGGTGGAGTTTTACGTTTCCCAAGCATGCGCGTGTGCTACAGTCTCTGCATGCATTCCAAACGGGAAAAATCTACCCTGACCATGAAACAAGTGCTGTCCCGGGTTCACTCCTCGTCTGTTTCGAGCCTTTAGAAGGGTCTTTCTATTACTATTTTAATTGCTAATTCATTACGTTATGTAAAAATAAAAATAATAGTTATAGCTTCCTAAAACTGGCATGTTGTTATAAGTTATGTAGCCTAAGGATATCATAGCATGGTTTGTGAGAAACATGCATGCATGTTTACTGTTGAAACAGATTCTGGATGATAATATCCTACGTCCAACGTTGGACACTGTATTGCAGTTTAGTTTATTATGTTAGAAAATTATAGAAGTTGCATGAATAAAATTATTACAATTCTAAAAATTTACTGAAATGCCTTTTTAAGTACTAAACAATTTAAGTGGTTGGTGCTGTTTCAATACTATTTGTAGATTTATCGGGGTTTTTTTAGAATGAAAAAAAAAGTGAAAATAATATTTGTTTTTAAATAGTTTTGTAGGTTAAATAGGGAGGAAGGAAACAAATGTGTCTCTCAGGGCCATAGGTGTTACACATGTAAACATATATTAACAAATATTTCCAAATACACATAGACATAGAAAAGTAATATTTAATGTAAGTACATTTTTTGTCTTGACCTGGTTTTCCTACAGTACACGGTGCCAATGTTATGGCACCACCCTGCGTTTTTAATGTACACTGCACGTAGCAGTTGATGTTTGAACTGTCTGCAGCAGATACCTGTTGAATGTCAAAAAATGAAATAAAAAACCTGTTAAATGTTCGTTGTGCATTACACAGAATTTCTTTAGTGCACATTGAGTGGATGAAGGAGGATTTGTGTTAAATGTGCTTTATGCAGTTGTGTAAAGAATGTCCTTAGTTCAAACTGTTAAAGTGCTAAGTGCAGAGATGTGTCTAAATATCCATTGTGTGGCACAAATGTTTAGAAAGTTGATTGGATAGAGGGTTTTATTTCATACCTTTTATTAATGTTTAAAATTGGGAATACTTCTGTAGGACACATGCCAGTGTTTATTTTTATGTAAACTGTTATTTTATGATGTAAATAATTTAATATTTAAGTATAATTTTGACTGTTTTATGCTCTTTTATATAAATAAATAAATAAATAAATAAATAAATACATACATACATACATACATACATACATACATACATACAATCATACATACATGTTTATATACATATGTTTGTGTGTTTTTGTCCCTTGTGGGGGCACCACAGTAAATTTTCGCTTAGGGTAACCCCCATGCCACTCCCATTACCACCTACCACACGCAGATTTAAAACTGTATTTACTACTGTATATGATTTCATATCACAGATTTCATATACAGCTCTTGAAAGAGAAAGTCAAAGTAGTTTAAGTTAAGTATTTGACCTCTTTGGGGTTATGAAGCCTGCATACACAAATAGTGTTCATCTGTTGAAGGTGATTCACATTTGCATATTTTATTCATTTTTGTAACACAGAGACACACAAATTACACTGAAAGCTTAATGTTAAATAAAATTATTTTTTTATATAATGTTACATCTCAACCCGTTGGAAATCTTGGCTACAATATATTAATACTTTACCTTTAAGTACAGCATTTAATTTATCAGTACATTTTTGATCAACTTTTAAAAGCACATTTTAATTTAAATAAGCAGGGATAATGTTCAAACTTTTTGTAATTTTTAAAGTGGCTAACGATAATAAACATAATTTTTATGCATAAATTTGCCTTGTTTTTTGAACTGTGCAGAGCAGTTGCTGATTATTTAGGCCTACTACACTATTTTGATGCTGGTCATTAGGTGGTACTTGTAGAGACTCTGGGACTTCTGAGGTGGTGCTTGGTGTAAAAAGTTTAAAAATCACTGCTGTAAGAGATGAAATATAAGTAGTGGTGGAGGGCTGGACCTTTTCAATTTTCAATTTGCCTTCTTAAAAGTGGCAATTAGGTATTGGCTAGATCCCGAATCATCAATTATTGCTGTTTTTGTTTGGTAAAACAGCACATTACAACAAGAATATTACAAGAACCTTAGGCTACCTACAATGGTGTTACCACATGTTAATGGTCTTTTTTTGTTAAAGATTTCTGCTGTAATGTATTACTGTTATATTTTGTGTTATACAGTTGTAATTTTCATGTGGTATAGCCTAATGTGTAGTTTTTTTGTGGTAAAGTGCACATATTCGTCATATTACTGTAATATTTACACAACAGTTTTGTTGCATGTACGTAATATTTCCGTAATTTTCTTGTGGTGATGTGTGGCACTACTGTGATATTTCTGTAATATTTACTATATGATTTTGTTATACTGTAGTTAATGTTCCTGTAATGTTTTAATGTGTGGTATTATTGCCTTCCTTTAAAATTCCTGTCATTTTTATGCAGTAGGCATATTCTTGCACTGATATTTCTGTTATACTTAACACAATATTTTGTTAAACAATATTCCTGTAGTTTTCTTGCAGTGATGTGTGGTATTACTGTCATATTTCTGTAATATTTACCTCACCATTTTGATATAGTATGTAGGCTAGTAGTTGTGCAATATTCTTGTGGTAATGTGTGGTATATTACTGTACCACATTATTTAGCTATAAAGGTAAGGTTTGTAAGTAATATTCCTGTAATGTGTGGTGTTGTTTTTATCTTTCAGTTGTATTTACCACAGGATTTAGTTGAAATGTTTGTAATATAATAATTAAATGGAAATATGTAGTATTACTTTTACACCTCTTCTGTATTATTTAGCATACTGGTGCTACAGAGGTCGATAATATTGTAACTCATTGTTTTGCATAGATATTTACATATATCCATATATTATGTAAAATATCTATGATTGTTTTGTACAATGGTTTTGTACAATGACTGTAAAAAAAAAAATTGTAACACAGGCGAAAAAGCTGCGTCAACGGATGTAGTGCCCTCTTATGAACACGAGAGGGCATCAATTTGAATGCTTTTTGTTGTTGTGTTGACTGGACTTTAGCTCCCATAATCCTTTGTACCTTTCTCATAGTTACTGATTTTGTAAGACTTTTCTCAGTTTGCTTGTTTGTTTGTTTCAGATGAGTTTAGATTTAGTTCTGTTTACATGGTTTGTAAACAGTACAACAGAACCTTATTTTTATGTTTTAGCGTTGTTTGCCCCTCCATGTCATGAATTAACTTTTTGCTTTAAAAAAAAAAATAAAACTGCAATTGAATTCTCTGTATTGTGTGACATGGTAAACACTACTACACTAAGAATAATACATGCCATAACAAAATCCTGTGGCAAATACTACAGATATATGTCTAAAGTACAACAAATAATTACCACAAGAAAAAAATATAGGAATATTTTATAACAAACAAAACCCTGTGGTAATTACAGCAGAAATATGACAATACCACACATTACTGCAAGAATATTACTGGAATATTATATAATGAGAAACTAAATTTTGTGTAAATACTACAAGAAAAAATATGACAGCAACATCACACATTACTGAAATAATATGGGCGGCACAGTAGCTCAGTGGTAAGCACTGTAGCCTCACTGCAAGAAGGCTGCTGGAAGGCCTCACAGTCTAAAGACATGTGCTATAAGTAAAATAAAAAAACTAAATTGGCAGTAGTGTATGTGTGTAAATAAGTGAGCCCTGATTAATAAAGGGACCAAGCCGAAAGAAAATGAATGAACAGCCATAATGTATGAGTGTGACTTTAAGAGTGTATGGGTGTTTCCCAGTACTGGGTTGCAGCTGGAAGGGCATCCACGGCAGAAAACATATGCTGAAATAGTTGCCGGTATATAACCCCTGATAAATCAGAGTCTAAGCCAAAGGAAAATTGATGAATTAGTGAATTAATGCAACAAAATGGCAAATACTACAGGAATATAAAACTTACATCTTTAGCATCAGAAAAGTTATACTTGCAGTGTTTGGTGAAATAACACTTATTTAACAAATGAAAGCAGTTGTTACTCTGACCATTTGTTATGTTCTGAGAGAGGCATTACAATATTTTTAATTCAAATTTAAAAAGAAATTTCATCAGACCTTTATAGAATTAAACAAATATCAATTCCTTGCTCAAACAAATAATTAATAAATCCAGAGAAACTGGGAATTGTCATTCATTCATTAATACATTTTCTTGTCGGCTTAGTCTCTTTATTAATCCGGGGTCGCCACAGTGAAATGAACCGCCAACTTATCCAGCACATTTTTACGCAGCGGATGCCCTTTCAGCCGCAACCCATCTCTGGAAAACATACACACACACACACACACACACACACACACACACACACACACACACACACACACACACACACACACACACACACACACACACACACACACACACACACACACACACACACACACACTACTGACAATTTAGCCTACCCAATTCACCTGTACCGCATGTCTTTGGACTGTGGGGGTAACCGAGCACCCGGAAGAAACCCATGCGAATGCAGGGAGAACCTGCAAACTCCACACAGAAATGCCAACTGAGCCGATGTTCGAACCAGCAACCTTCTTGCTATGAGGCGACAGCACTACCTACTGCGCCACTGTGTCGCTCGGAATTGTCAAGTGGTTTCTAAAATTCCATAATCCATCCACAGGTGCACA